GGTAATTGATGAATTACCATAATGCTAAGAGGAGCTGCAAAAACGCAGATGGAGAAGGTACAACAAAACCATCCAACAATTTTAACTCTCCTCGGACCCGTCGAAAATAGGTAGGTGAAAACCACGAGGAGCCCCAGAGCTCCAACGTTGAAGATTAGTAGCACCCAAATGGTGAAAATCTGCAAATTAAATGGAATTCATTATATATTATTCCAATTAATTGAGCAAAAAAAAAAAAAAAAAAATTGGGAAAAAGATGGTGCAACTAACGTAATAACCTTGGCCTGTTTGGTTGCATAAACGATGTAGATGGTGAGATATATAGACTGTATACCCATTCCAAGGCTGTTAATAGTAACCAGCAAGAACATATGCTTCTTCACATATGCGTAGTATAAATATAGCATACAGCTGAACAATGCAACTGAATAAGGAATGAATTGAAACCCCTCTGATGATTTTCTCTTATATATCACATGAAAAGCTGGCCTGCCATGCAACCAAACCAAACAAAAACATATATATATGCATTATTATTAGATCAAAAATCAAGAAAATAAGTGGGTTGTGGTTACAGTGGAGACAAGAACACCATGAAGGACATAATGTTTCCTGCAAAAATGAGAAAAGGGAAGAACACATTACATTAGTTAACTAGTCATGATAACCTAGGAAGCTAAGCTAGAATAGAATTGTGAATGATTTTCAACAATGTTGTTTGAGTTGGGTTAGTTGTTGTACAAGAATGTGACTAATGAACAAAAGAGAAGAGAAAGTTTTAGAGGAAGGACTACTTGCCAAGAATGCCAAAGACATTAGCTAGAGAATTTGCCATTATTGGTGGATGGGCACTTTGAGATCAATCCCAATGTAGAGTTGTGGTTATCTCTTTTTCTCTCTTGGCTATCTCTTTCTCTCTCTCTGATCTGTGCCTTGTAGAAGATGATGATGGGAACTCTGTGTTTTGGCAACATTTATATAGCACTCCAAAGGTGGTGATTGAGATTTATAGAGATGGAATATTTGAGTGTACTAATTAAGAATGTTTGGCTTCTTCTTCAATTCCACACCAACTATCTTGCATTGTGTCAAAATTTGGACCTCAAAGATGAGGTCTAAGCTAGATCTCAACCGTCTAAAACCAAAATAGTCATTGCCACCTTTTTTTAAGAGCCAGCGAGATAGGACGAAAGCAACCATTAATTGTCTTCGTCTTAGATAGATGATCTGATCTAAATCTAAACATAAGATGACGGTTATAGATGTGGTGGTTTCAAACAACCATTGTCATTTTATTTTCAATGGCAATGGTTATTCCTAAATGGAGATAACCACTTTTATATCTTTCAAATACTTGACTATTCTTTAAAAGAACAAAAATAAAACTAAAAAATTGCACACTATATCTGAATACCACGTAGTGTTAACCACATCAGTATGTAGTAACCTACTGAATATCACTAGAAAGAATTAATAAGGTACAACACATTAATGCAACCAATTACATTAGTGCGTACAATTTTAATTCTAATAACTTAATAATTAGATTTAACAATGTTAAGGGAAAACTGAAAAGAAGAAAGGTAAAATTAGAAATTATTTGTATAAGAAAGAAAACATAAGGTATAAGTTATTGATGCGATTACACAAATAAATTTGTTGTTCCTATTATAACACCAACATTATTGTCGCTCTTACTTAATTATATAGTTTTTTTTTTTTTTTTGGTCAAAGTACCTGTCAAATTCCTGTATTATACTATTTTGTTCAATTTATTCCTTGTACCTAAAGTTTGTAATTTAATCCCAGCCTATACTTTAAGATTTAGAACAATCAAGAAGGAGAATATTTCACATCATTTATTTTTTTCATTAAGTTTGCTCACATGGCACAGACATGGCGGGCAATGTTAGATTTTTAGATGTAGCATAAAATAATACGGAGTAATTATTTAAAAGTACAAATTACTACATACAAATCTAGAAGTTGAATTTGAACCTTGACCTTTTACTTAATATAAAAAGCTCTCTACCACAAAACTACACACTAATCTTGTTATGTAATTGTAAATAATAAGTAATATTACTTATTCTACAAAAATACTATGATTTTTTTTTAAGAAGAAGAAAAGACATTTAGAAACGATTATGATAGTGAGCAAAACAGCCTCAACAATCAAGGATAATATTTAACATTTTATTTGATTATGAGAGTGTTCGCGGTATGTATTTATTATTAGAGAAGTCTGAAAATATTTCAATATATGTTGAACGTAACATACTGATTATGTTGGACAATCAGTAACTCATGCTAAAATTAAAGAAGGAATAAAGAGGGGAAGCAAAGGCTTTTTTGCTCGTTGTCATAATCGTCTTTTCCCTTTTTATATCTTAGCATTTTAGTCGAATAAATAGTATTACTTATTTTTTACAATTATACAATAGATTAGTTTGTAACTTTGTGGTATTAAGCCTCTTATATTTGGTAAGAGGTTAAGAATTTGAATCCAATTTCTAATTTTGTAATTTTTACCATTAAATAATTATAATTATATTATTTTATGTCAACTCACAAAATTTGACATGGTAATGTCATTGTCAAGTGGACAGACTTAAAGGAAAAAAAATAAAAGGTATTAAGTATTATCATTCGTTGTTCTAAATATTAAAATACATGGATTGAATTTAACAAAATTTAAGTACAAAGACTAAATTGAACAAAATAGTATAGTATGTACACGAACCTAATAAGTACTTTGACCTTTTTTTTTTTTTTTCTTTTTGGTGAGGAAAAAGCAGTCGTTATATCGTAGAACGGTGCCGTTTCTTTAAGTAAAGAAACGGCCCGCCATTATCGTTAACGTAGTTCGCATGTTTGGTGTATTAAACACCAACTGACATTACAATATATCTGAACCGACACTGTTTCACGTATTATTTTTATATTATGAGTGTTCACGGTATGTATTTATTATTAGAGAAATCTGAAAATATTTCAATATATGTTGAACATACTGATTATGTTGAACAATCAGTAACTCATGCTAAAATTAAAGAAGGAATAAAGAGGGGAGGCAGAGGCTTTTTTGCTCGTTGTCATAATCGTCTTTTCCCTTTTTATATCTTAGTATTTTAGTTGAATAAATAGTATTACTTATTTTTTACAATTATACAATAGATTAGTTTGTAACTTTGTGGTATAAAGCCTCTTATATTTGGTAAGAGGTTAAGAGTTTGAATCCAATTTCTAATTTTGTAATTTTTACCATTAAATAATTATAATTATATTATTTTGGGAAAATGGCACTTTTTACCCCTGAGTTATATACTTATAGCACTTTTTCCCCCTTAGGTAAGCACATTAGCCCCCCTCAATTATTCTAAAAGTGGTGCCTTTTCCCCCTAATATATTAAATTGACATTTATACCCTTAAAGTAAACATTTTATTTATTTTATTACTCCAACAAATTATTGCGTATACGTAGGGAGGACCACGGTTCGGTTTGAATTGAACCGAATACTAAAGCAATCGAATTAATAGTTTACGGTTATAATTCAGATCTAGAACCCAATATTTAAATATCAATTTATTAAAATTATGTATCAAAAAATTGAATCTTGAACCGTGAACCGGCGGTTCCGGATCTGATTCGCGATTTTGAACCGTCTTTATTTTAAAATTTTATTTTTTATTTTAAAATAGTCTAAATTCAACAATAAATGTATTTTATTTTTTCAGTTCGGAACATGAACCATCCGTTCCGGTTCACGATTTTAATAAACTCTTAAATATCGAATTTTGATTCTAAATTGTAATTGGAATATTTCGGTTTGGTTGCTATGGTGTTTGTTTAGTTTGAACCAAATTATGGTCATAATTTGTTGGAAAAAAAAATAAATTTAATATTTAGTTTAAGGGTAAATATATCCATTTAACATTTCAGGGGGAAAAACAGCCACTTCAATAATTTATGGGGAAAAAATGCTATAAGTATATAACTCAGGGGGAAAAAGTGTCATTTTTCCTATGGAATATCAAGGGTTTAGGAACTTCATAATCATCATAAATAATTAAATAAAGATGAAAGAAAATTAAAGTGAATAATAATAAAAAAAGAGTTTAGTGGAGTGGAGAGTAATTCACAAAATTAATTTGAGTAATAATTGTTGATCCATAATTGAAAATTAACATTGCAATACTTATGTTATGTTTCTAAGAGCATCCCCATTAAAGCATTGTTCACCGTCTTTTAGGAAAAAATTGCAACTTAAAAGAGAGGGATGGAGGAGAGAGAAGAAGTAGGGTGCACCCAAGTTTTTTCAGAGTTTGTGGGTCTCACCAAGAGAGAAAAGGAAGTTTGCGGGTCAATTTTTTTTTTTTTTTCCAGCTTTGTTTTTTTTTTTTTTTCTTTTTTTTTTTTTTTTTTTTTTTTTTTTTCACATATTTTTCTCTCTCCTCTATCTTATTTGTCATCTAAAAACTTGTGCTAAAAACTTATCTATTAAGGATGCCCATATAAGCATTTACTATCTCCACACAAATTGCAAATGACATCAGCAAAGTACGAATGCATTAATTGTGTTCACATTTACTGCAATAAATAAAACATTCTTACAAATTTCAATAACCACATGTTTCAACTTTCAATATTTACATGAACATCTACACCTACTTCAACATTATAAATAAGTCATCCCAATCTGCAATTCCAGAATGTGGACTGGAAGAAATTGTGGAAGCTCATGGTCCCTCTAAAAGTGAAGAATTTTTTATGGCGTTGCGCTAAGACATCCTCCCAGTTTGAGAGAATTTGAAGAAACGCCGCGTTTGGATTGGAGGTGGTTGTCCGTTCTGCCCTTCAGAGATCGAGACAGTGGACCATATTTTCTGCTCATGCCCTTTTGCCGTAGAAATCTGGGGAATCAATGTCAACCTTGGCGATGGTACGTTCTTGTCGCTATTAAATAATGCCATGCAATGTCCAACCACTCAATCTGCTATGTTTGTGTTTGCTGGGTTGTGGCACCTGTGGATTGCTAGGAATGACCTGATATGGAATAACATTCATCCTTCTACTTCACGCTTAAAGGTTCAGATCGACGCATCCTGCTCCTCTTGGGTAGATGCTTACATGAAACAATCAGCTTCTCCTTTCGGCAGTCTTCTAAATAATGAGGTTTGGTCACCACCTCCAGAATTTATGTTAAAATGCAACTTTGACGCGGCTGTGTTTGACAACGATGCTGGTGTAGGTGCTATCATTCGTGACCATAGAGGCAAGTTCGTGGCTGCTTTCAATTCCAGATTTGCATGTGCTCGAGACCCTCTATTGGCAGAGTCAATGGCAGCCAAAGAAGCTTTGTCATGGTTGAAGGCCAATGATTTTAGAAATTTAATCCTTGAATCAGACTCTCTTTTATTTTGTAATCGTTTTGTTTCTTCCTCGTTAGATCTTTCTTATGTTGGTTTGGTTGTGAAGCAATGTCGTAGCATTGCAAATGACATCAGGAACGTGTCTGTTCACCATGTCAAAAGGTCAGCGAACCATGTCGCTCATGTGCTTGCACGGGTAACAGGTTCTTCCCCTGTCCTAGGGTCGTGGTTCAGTGTGCCACCATCTTGTATTTCACATTTGGTTATTGCTTAATAATATCTACCTTCTTCCTTTCAAAAAAATAAATAAGTCATCATCCACAACCAATATAATACTACAATTATGTTTTTGTCGTGGTTGGAATTAGGAGGATGATCGTGACTAAAATAGGGAGAAGAATATTTTTGGGAGCTTAGATCTCCTATAGAGCTTTATACCGTGCAATCTAGGGAAGATGAATATTTCTGGGAGCGGAAGAACTCAGGTAAGTTTTTCTGTTTCCACAGCCATTAATTTCTTTGCTAATTTAAAGTATGTCAAAAATTTAATTGATAAATTTGTTAAATTAATAATTGTCTGTGCATCGCACTGGACAATTACTAGTGAGTAATAAAATACTTGCATAATATAGGTAATGAGTGAGGACATAAGAGAATTGTTTATATTGACGCATTTATGGCCGGGGTGGTTGTGAGGAAAGTATCTTTGCCTTGCGTGCACGCGCGACACACACAGAGACTTGTGTTCATAGTTGATGATGGAACTATAGGGCTTGAGAGGGGGTCTACGATTTTGTCGTGACAAGAGGGTCCGATGAATTTGTGTAGAGATGGACTCAAAAGATGTGATTAAGGTAATTATAAGGAGCAAAATCAAGGAGGAGTGTATCACCTTGATGGTAGATTGCATGAGCCTTGATGACAGTTTGGAACAGGTTTCGTTCGCCTATGTCTTCTGAGAAGGGAATAAATGTGCTGATATATCATGACGAACCTCAGTCAGAATTGGGGTTGGGATACTTCCGTACTAGAGGAAGAGATCGCCAGTCTTCTCATGAGCGATGCAGGGGGGGAGGGGGGGGGGGGGGGGGGCTGCCACCCGTAGAATGAAATAGTACCGATGCCTAGCCTCTCTTTCCTGGCAAATTATATTGTGCATCGCGGAGCATAATCGATTATGCACCGCGCATCAAAACGACGTCGTTTTGTTAAATGAAAAGAAACGACATTAGCTTTCTGCCGTTCCGCAAAAAGTAACTCTGTTATTCAGTTTCATTTTATATACACTGCAGTTTCAGTTCAACACAACTACAGTTTCATTTCGATATAACTACAGTTTCATTCAATATTTATAGACTTAAATATGTGAAAATGTTATTTAATTTTATTTTATATACACTATAGTTTTATTAAAACACAACTACATGATCATTTTGATATAATTACAGCTTCATTGTACAATATACACTCAAATATGTGAAATGTTGTTCAGTTTCATTTTATATACACTGCAGTTTCATTTCACCACAACTATACAGTATCATTTTGATATAACTGCAGTTTCATTTGATAATATAAAAACAATATGTGAAACAATTTCGGTTCAGATATACTGTAGTGTCAGTTGGTGTTTAATACATCAAACATGCGGACGACGTTAACGATAACGGCGGGCCGTTTCTTTACTTAAAGAAACGGCGCCGTTTTTTTACATACACCGCGGTCTACAATATAATGACTGCTTTTTCCTCACCAAAAAGGAAAAAAAAAAAAAAAAAAGAGGTCAAAGTACTTATTAGGTTCCTGTACATACTATACTATTTTGTTCAATTTAGTTCTTGTACTTAAATTTTGTTAAATTTAATCAAGGGAAAATGGCACTTTTACCCCCTTTGTTATATACTTATAGCACTTTTTCCCCCTAAATTATTTAAGTGGCAATTTTTCCCCCCTGATATATTAAATGGACATATTTACCCTTAAAATAAATATTTCTTTATTTTTCTTCTCCAACAAATTATAACCACGATTTGAAAAAATAAAATACATTAAGTGTTGAATTTAGAATATTTTAAAAATAAAAAAATAAAATTTTAAAAGAAAGTTTGAACCAACCGTTCAAATTGGATCCAAAATCATGAACCGACGGTTCAAAATAAAACTCAAACCGCGATTATATATACTTATATGTGAGAGTCAATATAAATGCGGAAAAAAAACATACACTATTTGCAAATATTATAATTCTAATTTAAACTATTGCTAGTAGTTGTTCCGATTTGAACCTCCGGTTCACGGTTCAGGATCCATTATTTTTCAGTTCACGATTTTAATAAACAGAAACCCAAATATTGGGTTATGTTATGAATCATAAGTTCATAACTGAAGTTTTTTAATTTGATTGCTATAGTGTTTGGTTCAATTCGAACCGAACCGTGGTCATCCATACGTATAAGCAATAATTTGTTGAAGAAGAGAAATAAATAAAATATTTGTTTTAAGGATAGAAATGTCCATTTAATATTATCAGGGGGAAAAACCGTCACTTCTATAATAATTGAGGGGGCAAATGTGAATGCATGAATAACTCAGGGGGAAAAAGTGCTATAAGCATATAACACAGGGAGAAAAAGTGCCATTTTCCCTATTCCATAACTTCAAATGCACCAAATGGAGGGAAAAAAATTTCACCTTGATTCTGCAATATTATATATAGAGATTAGGATGAAAACATGTATAATTCATTGAGTATATATGGAAAGAATTATCATTCCTAATCTAGATATATATGTCGCTTGACCACCATATATGTCTTTAACATTTAAAATTATTTATTTACATCTTTTTATTATAATTATTATTAATATTTACAAACATTATAAATTTTAATTTATAATTTTATTTTAATATAAATAATAATTATTATCATCATTAAAATAATTAATATTTTATAAGAAATAAATTAGTAACAGATTGATGTTTTATTTTTTAAAATGAATCAAACAAAATATAATAATTATATGACTTTTAACAAAAGAAAAGATGAATTATTTTATAACTTTCAGTTAAATACTATAAAATAATCATTTTTTATAAAAATATTTTTCGTGTTTTCAAATGGACTCTTAATAAATATTGTAATAAACAACAAATTTTGGCAATACAATAAGGTTGTTTTTTTTTTTTTTCCTACTGGCTCTATTACAATGTAGTTTCTGTTCATATACTTTCCCAACCTACTGAAACACAAAGAACTAATAACGCCTCCACTGAGGCTCAAACTTACAACCTTCCAAATGGAAGTCCAACCCGGATACGATTAGACCACATAACAAATTAAACATGATGAAATAACAAAATAACAATGTCATAGTAGTTGTGGAATTTATAATGTAAAATTTACTGTGTATAAAGTCTATACTTCTTGACGAAATGACAAATGTGATTTTTAAAAATTAAAGATTAACATATTTTTTAAAAGCTTTGTGTCACAAAAGGTTTCGTGGTGTAGTTGGTTATCACGTCAGTCTAACACACTGAAGGTCTCCAGTTCGAGTCTGGGCGAAGCCATCTCTTTTTTTTTCACATACTATGTAACTGTATGCATAGTCCGTATCCCTTAACAATGCTCAATCTGAAACTTTAATCCTATTATACAGTTTTTATTTTATCATCATAAATAAAAGGGAGAAGTGTCAAATAGGCCCATGTACTATTGTCAAGTGCTTAATTTTCACTATAAATTAAATTAAATACTAATTAATCACACTTACCTACTAAATTTGTTCAATTAACTTTTTTTGCAGGTAAATGACTTTTTTTTTGCAGGTTAGCAATTCAATTATTAAAAAAATAATTTCAAAATAATTTAAAATTTATTAAAAAAAATAAAAATACAGCCACTGGCTGTCCGACGAGGACAGCCGGTGGCTGTATTCTTTTTATTTTTTTAAATTTTATTATATTTTATTTATTTATTTTAATAATTAAATAGGTAACCTGTTATTAACCTTTAAAAAAAGTCAATTGAATAAATTTAACTCGTAGATGAACTTATTTGACACTTAATTTAGTTCGTGGTGAAAATTGAGCACTTCGCAGTAGTAGATGGGCCTATTTGACACTTGTGCCTAAATAAAAAGAAGTAATGCTTAATTTATATCATCTTTTTAACTAATTTCAAAACACAATTTTATAGTGATGGAGTTAATACCCATTTTGGTCCCTTGACTATTAGGTTTTCACTACTTTGATCCTCGACTTTCAAACTTGCTCAATTTCATCCCCAATTATGCAATTGTTAATCAAAATGGTCCTAATCAAGACTATTTTGATTTGAACAAAGAACACCCATAAAATCCCCGTTAGGGCAGAGATTAGATGATGAAAAATTTTTATTACCCCGTGTAGGTGCAAGTGTAGGTATAGGAAGTGATCGAGGTGGGAATGTATCCCCATCTCACCCGGCAAATTATTCTGTGGACCCAAGTCGACCTTGTAAGGTGGACACATGTTCAAAATATACAATTTACGTACTGAATGTTCACAATTTATATACACAATTATATGCTAAATGTTTACAATTCAAATTGTAAACATTCAGTATGTAAATTGTGTATTTTAGACTCGGATCCATGGTGTAACTGCTAGGTCTCACCCCATGGCCATTCATGCATAGTCTAGATGAGGTCTAAATAGCCTAGGTAAAACAAAGAAAAATTCCATCAATTCAGCCTAAAGATAAAGCAAATTAGTCTGTATGTAGAATCTTTAATTTGGACTCTAATAATGGGCTTGTGAACAATATTGATTATTATTCTTCTATCAAAGTCTCCATAAAAATCTTGATTTGAACTTGAATATTTTCAAGGCATGCACATGGATCACATGCCTTCAATATGGCAATTGTCAAACATGGGCTTGGGTTGGTCCACATATAAGTTTTTTATTTGGTTGGAGGGCATATTATTTCGGCAAATTATATTGTGCACCAGGGCGCACAATGCATTGTGCATCTGGACTCAAAACAACGTTGTTTTGTACTTTTTCTTTCAAATTCTATTCCCCGTGTTTGCTGTTAACTTCTTTAAATAAAAGCACATGTTTCGAATGTACATAATTGTATAACAGAATACACATAATCTTTTTTGAAATGATAAGGATAATATATATAATATAACATAATACATAATCAGGGTTGTAAAAATCCCACCTAGGCACCGAGTAATCGGCGCCTAGGCGCTGGGCGCCCATAGGCCGTGGCGATTTCCGCCC